TTTGCAAAAAAAAAAAAAAAAAAAAAAAAAAAAATACCAATACCTTCTATAACCGTAGAGCCGCAAATCCGCTTCCACTCCAAGTTATTTACATCGTCTTTTACATCAAGTAAACTTTCCTGTAAAATATTTAAAAAGTAATGGATGCCACTTAACGAAATCTCCAGCGCTTATTTCACGCAGCTCTTCTCGAGTAATAACACCCACCCCTCTGCCACCTCATTTATATCTTACACTCCCATGAATCCTCTTTCCCTACACATCCACTCTCTCGTTTCGCTTCTGCTCTCCCATAAAGTTCAACTCAGCATTCCTGCAGGTACGTCCTTTTGTAGTCAGCGAATTCCCTCTTCCATTAGCTTCGAAATTCTTCGCGAATCTCCCGCTGAAATTCCACCCGAAGAACTTCAAGATCCTTGACTTTGGTAATGCTCCATCGCACCGAGTGAACGGTTGCTTTTTACAGAGTTCGCTACTGCAGTAATAGTAATAAGTGGTGTTTTTTTGGGGTTTGACGGAGTTACTTTATCAAGGTATACTGTGCGTATGAATAATTTTACTTTTACTGCCGGTGCTTACACAACGTAGAAATCGGTCGTACGAGATGATTTTGAAAAACCTCATTCGAGAACATTTTGTCCAAATGTTTCAAAACGCCACTTTGAAGTTTGAAAATTGAGAATTCCTTTTTGCTACGGGGTGTTCATTCAATTTCCCGTTTGGCACGTAAAATCGTCAAAATACTCGTCATTGAGCAAATGCGGGTTCGTCATTCGACGATACATGTCATAAAATCAATTTGTCAAAATGCTCGTCCATTGTTATCTTTGAAAGGCGTCGTTACGATCTGTCAAACCTCATTTACGTTTAAAACAAAAAGTCGCTCGAATTCTCCTTTTTGCATAAACGTAAAACATTTAAAACAATTTTACAAGAGACCATTTCTTCTCGGTACGTACTGGTAAATTTGTCAAATTCTTAAAGATACGCAAAAAATCAGTTGAAGGGTATCCAATGATTGTTTGTAAAAAAAGCTTGCTAGTGGGAGCTTTCGCATCTCTCCTTTCAAAAAACTTTCTTGTCCTGTGAAACGCAATACTGTTAGCAGTGTCTACAAGGTTCTCCATTCGTTTGACTTGAATTTCTTGAAAAAAAAAAAAAAAATAAAAAAAAATAAAAAAAATAAAAATGGTAAATCGTACAAAAGGTTATGATTCAAAAATTAATGTTATGATAACAAAACTCAACAACCTGACGTAACATTAATTATGAATACAATGCCATGGCAGCAAAATGTCGGAGGAACAATACAAGTTTGACAAAGCTTCTCCCACTTTTTATCGTTTCCTTTGTACAAGCAGGATATCGGGGGTTAGAGCTCTTGCCTATAGTGATCAACGTCCTCATTAAACACGGAATACTCACCGAAAGTATCCTAATTACACGTTAAAACTTCGTTTATCATAACTAGTACCCTCATCGCTCTGTCACAATTGACTAATGCGTAAATACTTTCAAAGTAACTAATTAACTGAAGAAGAATCTTCAATGATAGGAATGAGGCTAATATTTTTCGGGAATAATTTCAATTCCTTTATCAAACACACCTCTCTTGCAGTTTTGCTAAATTTGTGTAATTTTACTCTTTTTTAACTTGAAGCATGTCAGCTATATTTAAACAATTTTGTTTTTATTTTTATAATAGAAATCAGCTTATTTGAAGCAAAGCATGAATTATTCTTTTGAATAAGTCAGACACATGATATTTCATGGACATATTTTGTTTTATTGACAATACATGCTTAAAGTAACATTGTCCAGGCTGATATAAAATTGCACGCAATCGGTATAGTTTTTTACGAAAACGAAAAAAAAAAAAAGAATGTTCCTAACACGTTTACCAATTTTTGCACGACATGACACGGTATTCGTGATCACAGACGGTGTTGGATTGATCCCATGCTGTTCCTGGACCACAATTCATGCTTTGTTTTGCCGAACCACCGACGCACACGTAATACTTATGGCAGTCCTTAGGGTCGGGAAGGAAAGATCCTAATTCCTTGCATTCTTCATTCGAGTTTTGCTGGGAGTTCGAATTTTCAGAAATTTGCGTTTGTGGTTCAGTTTGGTGCATCTCGGGTGGTACAGCCGAATGTTCTAATTTTAATAACCGATTAGACGACAATTTTTTTACAGCGTACAAGGTAGTTTACGGGCTATAGAAGAATATCTACTAAGTCTAATGACGGACCCGAATGATCTTGTTCATCAGTGTAAAATGGGTCTTCAGTTACTGGAGGAGGATTTCGAGGGTCTGACTGATCGAACCGGTTAGGGTTATCCGAGTACCTTGTTAGAGAAGGATTCCCTTGATCTTGTGGATAATCTCGTGGGTCTGGCATATTAAATGGTCCTAGTTCATGAGGGTGCGGTGTGGTTTCTGTTTGTGGATGATTATTCACGAAATCTGATAGCGGATTTAATTGACCTCGCTGATACGGATTATTAGGAAAAAATATTTGGTCTGGGGACAGCGTCGTCATAGGGTTTGGAGTCACGTGTATTAAACCTGACGTATGACCTGGCTGTCCCATAAGGTTTGATGGAAAAGGATTCTGGGTACTAGACAACACATGCGGCGGGTATCCCTCTCCAATTCCAGAACATTCTGGAACCAAATTTTCGTTTTTACACGTTCGCAGTCTCGGATCGTAAGCTGATCCAATGCAGCAAGTATAGTCGTATCTTTGCAAACATAAGTCTACTTTAACACAGGTGTAGAATTTATGACAATTATTGGGGTTGGCAAATCGTCCCTCATTCAGACAGCCTTGGGAGTTTTCACAGATTGGACCTGAACAATCGTAGTTTTGTTGATGTTGTTGTTGTTGTTGTTGTTGTGGTTGTTGTTGTTGTTGTGGTTTTTGTTGTTGTTGTTGTTGTTGTTGTTGTTGTTGTTGTTGTTGTTGTTGTTGTTGTTGTTGTATTGGTCCGTAATTATTGGGATGCCCAGAACTAAGGTCTTGAAAAAAAGGAAAAAAATTAAATTAATTTTATTTCGTAGCTAAAAAATAAAATTAAAAATTAGAATACAAAATAGATTTTGTTGTAAAAGTTAATGACTAACGTATTACAGCCAATCTAGAGTAAAAGTTTATATCATATTTTTCCCCTACACTCCTGGTAAAGAAAATCTACTTGAATTTTATTTCAAAATGCCATATATCCACAAAAAATCACATCCATGTATCCATCCTCATGAATTTCCATTTACAGAAAGAATTTTTGTACAGGTGTGGCGTTTTGGAACTACATCCATCCCAAACGGACATAATTTTATTCGATTAATTAAAAATACTACTAATCGACGTAACATAAAAATTTAGTTAATAATTGCAGACGTATGCTTTCATAAAATATTCATAACGATATCTATTTTTCACTGAAAAAAAAAAAAAAAAAACATTCAGATTTTTTCTGCAAATGAAAAGGCCAACATTGATGTAATTTCGGACCCTCCTCTAACTCTTTCCAAAGAAGAATAAATTAATGATACATAACCACTGGCACAATTGATTTGGATGATCCTGAGGATCAAGGTGCGAAATCGTTCTATCGACCGTTACACTTGGTAGCTTACCTGGGTTTTCTGGCATGTTGAAATGGGCCGGATCGTTAGGATGATGGTTGGCCATGGGGTTCCAAGATTGCAGGAAAGGTTTCTCCAAGGACCCAAAAAGATGGCCCGGATGCAAAATGGGTCGTACAAACGAGTTATCCGAGCTGCCCAACGGAGTTCTGCGTTCACATGAAGGAACATGAAGACATTCCGACACGGTATTTTCGGGACTGCATACTTTCAGCTTCGGGTTCCAAGCAGAACCGTGACAGCAAGTGTGATCGGATCTTTGAAGGCACAAGCCTTTGTACGTGCAATTGAAATACTTGTGGCAATCGTCTTCGTTCGGGAATACTCCCTCTCCGATGCAGCTTGGGGAACTTACGCAGTTTTTGTACTGTTTTGGGTGATCAGGTTGATTGTTGTAATGATGAGGTGAGTTGTCATAGCGGTCTGGACAGAAACGGAAAAAAATCATATTTCCACTAGAATTTGACTTTACCATAATAAGTACGTAGAAAAAGTGGCAACAGTCCTTATTTTGTCTACATCTCAATCACATACGGGCAACATTCTAAGTTATCTCTATACGTTTTTGTGTTTTAATCCATAAGTCAATATTCATCATTATTGTTTAGTCTTCCAGTCATTTAATTAAATTTTCTTTGTAACCATACAAGATTACTATCGATTCTGCGATGTATTTTATTAGGGGGTCGTGCAAAGTATCCTGTGTTTATTTTTTTTTCTGTTTAAAATTATTTATAAATCTATTTAAATAAATACTCACAACATTCAACTGTTTGTAACAGAGTAATAGCCCCTAGGGTGCAGATAAAGTACAGTGCTTTGAACATGATGCCACAGTTTACTGTAGTTCCTGGTAAATGAAAATCGAAAAATAAAAACATTATATTTTCCGCAATAGAATAAAAAAAAAAAAAAAGAATTCGTTTATAGAAGATGATTGGGTTATAGTGTTATGAGTTCATGTCTTTGTTGAATATAGAAATTTTCTAAAAATGGAGAAAAATGTTGATGATACGAACGTATTATTTATTTGTTTGCCTAGATTTTTTTCATGTGCATTTCAAAAATAATCTCGTTAAATATAATTGTACAGCTTAACTTATCAATTCAATATTGTATTTAATTTAGAATAGTACAAACTTTCGATCCTACAAACTTGAAATTAAATTTATATGCTGACCTACGGTACTTCCCTTTCGTAAATTCCCTTTATTGTACTTCCAAATCCAAGTTATTTATGATTCATAAATTCACAACTTTGATGATTTAATCTCTTATAAAAATATTTACTTCTTGAAATACTTTATTAAAAGTAAATATAAAAGCATTCCCAACAAATTTTAATATTTACCTGGTCAACTTCCAATAATCTTCGCGAACAAACTATTTTGTTTAAATTTTGCAACTATATAATCAAAAAATTTTTTAAGGCTAAAATTTTATTTACCACGAATTCAATTTTACGTTCAAAATACATGTCTAAACCATTACGCAGGTTAACATTTTCCTACTCGTTTAGTGATCATAAAATGTTTATGTTTGTCATGTGACGATAATATTATACTGCTATTTTATCGTTGGATTTGCTACGAACGTTAAATTGTTCTTGTAGTATGTAATCACATAGTATGTAAATTTTTTAATACTTAGAATTAGTTGGTAAATAATATATGTTATTTTATGTTTTTGATATTTTAGCTACTTGTCACAGCAGCTATATTTTTTTCTTAAATTCCTGTGTTGCACGTTAACTGTAGAATTGGAGATTATTGAGCACTAAAAGTGCCTTATTGCCGAAAATAAATTTTGTGAAAAAATTCATACCACTTTTATATCATACACGTGTATATTTGCAATAACTAAGTGTACACACACACCTACTCTCTCAAAAATTATTAATTTTTTCAACGTGAGTTTATTAATTTTTTAACATAAAAATCAAATAAATATTCAACCTTACATTCTACGAACATTTAGAGTATTTATTTGAAAAAAAAATCGTGTAGATAAATATTTAGTTCCTCGTGCTTATTGAAATGAAAAAACTTATCTCGTTTTCCTCGAATATTTTACAAAAATGTTGTTGAACGACGTTTTAATACTTCTTGCACGTGGCAGCATAAAACTTAACTCTATTTATTTCGAAAAATTCCAACAAGTGTGTACGTGTACAACTTTTTATGCAAATGTTTAAAATAATTTCAAGAACTCATAGATTCATAACAAAACTTTCTTTTGAAGTTAGTTGTGAATCAGAAAAAATATTTATACTTAATCGATAAAATCAAAGAGAATTTATTAATTTGACTGCCTTGCCTTGCTAAACCTGACGGTCCTAGTACTATAGATGGACCTAGCATTCAGCAAAACACTCAAAAAGCTAGTCATATTGAATTTTTTGAGTAACCCAACTTTTACTGATAAAAATATCTTTAAACAATTAAAAAGGAAAAAAAAGCATGAAGAATAGCATAAATGATTCAAAATATTTCATCCATTTACTATACAGAAAATAATAAGTATTGTTACACATTCTACATTTACAACTAAGGAAACCAAAACAAGTCAAAATTACTTTTGTACGTTTTTGCAACGAAACGAAGCAACCGCAACATCTAGTTAGTTTGGCTTGTTTCTGGAACGTTGCGGAAACCTTTACTTTACCACCAAAACCGGTCCTTTTTTACGATTTTTACGACTTTCAGGGCAACGTTTCAAAGTTTCAATATCCACGTTTTTACAACTTTTCAGAAACGATGTATGCTTACTGGGTAATTTTGTTTCATGCATATGTTTTATTGTTAATAACCTTGGCTTTAGTTGAAGTAGCCAGTCCAAAAATGGAGCTTTTACAGAAGTGTCTGAAATTATAGGAATCACTTTGTAATATTGCCGTATAAATGATTGATTAAAACTTTCCAAAGATTGAACGTATAATTTTATATACATCAAAAATTAACCATCTTCATTAAAAAAACCTCAACAGGTATTATATTCACCAACCAACCCTATCAGCAATCATTAAATTACTATTAAATTGTAAGATCGATATTCATACATCCATCTGACGAGACTATCTGATGCTTGGCTCAAGGCTGCATTTTCAATTTCATCCAAAGGCTTGCTCAAAAAAAAAGAAAAAAAAATACACAATAAGTTCCAATATTATTGATCTTGCTTTAAATAATAAATGCAATATTGTATAGTTGATTGCAAGGAGTCAGTTTTAATGGAATGAAAATGGGAACGATTTAGTTTTTCAAGAGTATCGTACTTGAGGTTTCAACGATCCTTAGTATCGACTTCATCACGCGAGATGGTAGGTAATAGCAATTTGCTTATTTGCAAAAAAGATTTGCAGCAAAACATCACTATTTCTTTTGAATAAGTTAAAAAAATCATATTTTATTTAAATAATTTATTTTATTGACAATATATTTTGTTGTTTTCGTAGTCACCCAGTCACCCGATTTGGCATCTTCAAACATTTTATTTATTTTTGCACGACATGACACGGTGTTCGTGATCACAGACGGTGTTGGATTGATCCCATGCTGTTCCTGGACCACAATTCATGCTTTGTTTTGCCGAGCCACCGACGCACACGTAATACTTATGGCAGTCCTTAGGATCGGGAAGGAAAGATCCTAATTCCTTGCATTCTTCATTCGAGTTTTGCTGGGAGTTCGAATTTTCAGAAATTTGCGTTTGTGGTTCAGTTTGGTGCATCTCGGGTGGTACAGCCGAATGTTCTAATTTTAATAACCGATTAGACGACAATTTTTTTACAGCGTACAAGGTAATTTACGGGCTATTTGGCTATGGAAAAATATTTACTGATTCTAATGACAGACCTGATTTCATTGATGGGTCCCATTGATCTTTTTCATCAGTGTACATGGAGTCTTGAGGTTCTGGAGGAGGATATCGTGGGTCTGACAGGTCGTTTGATTGATCGAACTGATGAGAGTTATATAAACCCTGTAATTGTTGAGTTGGTCCGTATTTATCGGAATAGTCGTAGGGTGAGTCTTAAAGAAAAAGAAAGACATAAATTTATTTTATTTCATACCTGTAAAATTTAATGGAATTTATTAGATAAGAATAAAGAAATAAAGTTTACGGCAAAACAATTATGTCTGTTACCAGGTTGAAAAAGTGGGTGAAACTTAATCAAAGAAATATTTGGGACAAATTTCCAAGGGTATTTATTATGCCTAGGAAAATTGTTTTAGGATGTAATATTAAACCATACTAATTTTTTCACAAGGTAATTTACGGGCTATAGAAGAATATCTACTAAGTCTAATGACAGACCTGATTTCATTGATGGGTCCCATTGATCTTTTTCATCAGTGTACATGGAGTCTTGAGGTTCTGGAGGAGGATATCGTGGGTCTGACAGGTCGTTTGATTGATCGAACTGATGAGAGTTATATAAACCCTGTAATTGTTGAGTTGGTCCGTATTTATCGGAATAGTCGTAGGGTGAGTCTTAAAGAAAAAGAAAGACATAAATTTATTTTATTTCATACCTGTAAAATTTAATGGAATTTATTAGATAAGAATAAAGAAATAAAGTTTACGGCAAAACAATTATGTCTGTTACCAGGTTGAAAAAGTGGGTGAAACTTAATCAAAGAAATATTTGGGACAAATTTCCAAGGGTATTTATTATGCCTAGGAAAATTGTTTTAGGATGTAATATTAAACCATACTAATTTTTT